TGCTTGCCCTGCCGGTTTTTCTTCCTTCCTTTTTTTTCTTTTTTTACCCAAAATAAGGGATAAAGAGGTAAGCCCATCCCCTAGATCCGCCACTGAATATATAGACGGCTACGTTTGGAAATTGGAAGGATCCTTGAGTCTCGAAGTAAAGGCTCAGCTTAGAATTTTTCAGAATCAATGGCAATCCTATTTGAGTAGCCGTAATATTGAGGAAGATAAATAACAAAATCGATTGCAGCAGCCATCGATTAATTAATCGCTTTTTTAATTGGATACGACACTGTGGTAAATATATTTACTAGTGTATTAAAGTTGATAGGAAGTACTGTGTTGAGGCGAATTAGGGAACTAAATAGATTCCAAACCTCAGAAGGCTGTTGAATTTGAAAATAAGGTGAATCAGTTTTAGACCATGCGTGTGTTTTGAAATTGGACATGCGATATAACGTTTTGATCATGCAGTAGTTCATCATACCAAGTACTAACTTACAACTTCCGGATAGGTATTAGAATGATACTGATTTTAGGCTAACTACGCAGAAAAGAAATAATGTTCTAGTAAAGATAGGCTTAAACAAAAAAGTCATGAAACTGAGAAACATGGGCCACATTTGCACGGAAAGTAACAAAACAGAAAGTTGACTAATTTAGATAAACATTGCAAAACGAAACTATGAGAATACCTTCAGAGTTGTGCCAGAGGGTCAATCGTTCTCATTTGATTGCAACTCTTGGGTTTGCCTCGCAGCACAGCAGAACAGCTTTTTAGCTCTATTGACACAGTCCAAAGATTGTTGACTTGCTCATTCAGTTTCGGTGTAAACGATGGCAGTTAGAGGGGAGAATATTTAACGTCCTATATTGAGTTAGTTACATAATGTTAATTGTCACTATTAGTGTTATTTCCAGTTATTATTTTAAAACAAGCTTTTTAACTCTTTTAATTTTTAGATGATTTTTTAAATTTTTTTTCCCCTCCCCCTTTTTAGCTTTTTAATTTTTTTTTTTATTTAATGTAAAGCGCCATGGACAAATAGTGGATTGGCGCTATATAAATATTTTATTA